TGTCAGCTGCACTCTCGCAAGCGAAGCCTTGGCGCGCACAAAGCCTAATTCGTAAAACTTCTTGCAAAATTTCAATATTCCACGCCCATCGAGACTGTATCCTTCCTTCGCGTCATCTTGTAAACTTGTCCTAGTCCCTCTCACGTCCATCCTAAAGAACATTCTCCCAGATTTGTGCGCCACGCTTTGCTTCCTCCGTCGGGTATAAATATCGGCATGGGCGTGTATTTGGCGGTCAACTGAGGCCAGAGAATGTCGACGAGAGGTGTGGTCATTGGGATGAGGATGTACTAGGTCGTACTTGTACACTTGATGAGACTTTGGTAGGAGTCGAACTCGTTGGGAGCGAAAAAATGACATGGCGGAGTAGTTTGAATCATCGCCTCGTGGGCCAACTTCTTTGATAATGCGAAGTTTGACTGAACTTGGCTCTGGGAGAATATTTCACTCCCAGGTTCGTAGAGGACACCGCGTACAGGTGTTCAGTCTTGCCCTCCAATTATCGCGTGTTATGACCATAGTGCGGGCGATTTGTAAGTCTATTATCTGGACCCCTCTTATTGGTCCAATATGTAGGCCTTCACGCACGCCTATTGATCGCACTAGGGCCTTGGCGTCCACAAGGGATAAGTCTCTGCTGGAAGCTTAGACAGAGAATCAATAACTAAGTGACCAATCATTATCCATCTGCTTGCAGATTTAACACTACCAATATCTGTATTCCTGAGATAAATTTACCGTCGAAAATATAGATTATCAGTGCTACACTAATTTTTAAAGTGTAATTTACAGGTAGACCTGGGTCTACGCGTGAATCATAAGATGGAGTTCATACCATTTTTTCCGCCTTTTGTGTTGTGATTGAAACTCTATTGACATGTTTTTCAACCAGAGTATGGAGCATGAACTCTTGACGCCATCGATTCATAACGTTAATCTGACTTCCACCACATTTGTGACTTGATCTCGAGGCAGAGGAATTATGTGATCCCAAATTTTACGTAAAAGTCGAAGATAGGTTCTAAGCTCTTTTCCTAAATTATGGGCGATAGGGAGTAATCTGGGCCTCTTTACTTTGTCGGGTATCCTAGTGAGGCTAACATGACTCCTGCATAGCGTTTAGGCTCATGTTGTCCGCCAGCATAAATCTCTTTCATCCATGTGTAGCGGACTTTTGGATTTCTTTTTGTCGTGTCAGAATTACAGGCATCATGATCCGAACCTCTCCATTCAAGCCTTCACTTGGTAGACTCGGCACCCTCGGCTCACTCGGCTCACTCGGAAAGCGGCTTCCTCGATGTCAAATTAGAGGTCAGTGCGCGGCTGGTCAGCTTCAAATCGGCTGATGTGTACAATGAAGGGCTTAACATCTAAACAAAGGGGATGCTATATTTTCTAGTCTTTCAATCAACTTCCGACACACATGCTCAGGCTGCACTTTTCGCGGTGCAAAATCTGTCCTGCAACACCTCTACTTTGATCATCCTATATTCTCAATGTCACTAATTCAAAATTATTAGGGCATGACCGTCAGGATCAACTGGCATATAATTGTAATATTCAAATTAAAAACTAACCTATAAATTAAAGAGGGATTTAGGTAGATCTTTAAGTAGTCTTTCATGGTCTAGGACTCAGTAGAGACGTAAATTTAAATCAATCAATCAATTCAAGATTATTCCTAAATCGTTGATAATTCCCGAAATAATTTGACTTATTTATTTTTTGGGAAAAAAACAACGTTTACTAGTTTAACAATTAATCAAGTAGGGATGTTTCTACCTAGTATATTCGGGATCAAACTGAATTGCACATAGTCTCATCAGACGGCTTATATTGCAGAATCGTATTAGATATCCGTGACTATACCTGCTATCAAGCGCAAGCCCCTTAACATCCATTGAAAAATATCGAATAGAATACATTGGGCAACTACCATAAAATTTAGGGCATCCCATATAGCTTTGAGCAGTATTTCACCGTCTTAGACTACGTAAATCACTAATGCAAATTTGCTAACATGTTTAAATTTAATTTTAGACCCTGCAAATTGGTGGAGTGAAGCAAGTATTAGGAATCTTTGCACTTTTCAATTTAAATAAGTCAACTGTTTTACTAGATTGTGTATTGCCTGCATATTAACTTACTATCAGAGTCTTAAACTGTGATCCCTCAACTAGAGATCTCTGACAAAAACCGTCTTGAATACACTTAACATAGATATTTTATTTTATTTGACAAAATATAGTAAGTATTAAGGAATTAATGACCCCTCAGTCATTGAGGTTGTAGAGCGCGTTGATTCAAGTAACTACCGAAGTGAAACTAAGTACAGAATTTGCAGTCACGTGTAGATCAGCAACGTGGCCCACTTGATAGCCCCAATTATTCTAAATTCTAACAGTTAGAATGTTTGAAATTTTGTGTAGGTTGGAATCATTTAACGAATGTTACGGGTCTTAGTATATTCTAGGACTTCATAGAATTATGATATTCAGGTTCATTTTTAGTATGTGGATTCGGCATCACCTGGTGACTTTATTATCAGAAGTGTAGATAGTTATCTTAAATTTTGCTAAAGCCCCCCATTAAAACTCGGCTCTATCCCGCTCCAATACTTTGATCATATCAAATATCTCGATGTATACGCTTGAGTTTCCAAGTATCGGCCAGCCCCTCTCTTCATCGGGGGTGAGAGGAATCGCTCCTTTGTCTCCTTTTGGCACGCATATGCGCAAAGATAAAAAATTTGTCATCCAAATTAGTACCACAATATCCAGATAAAATTTTGGGAGGTTCTAGAAAAAGGCGACGAGAAGGTGGCGCGTCTCCGAGTCTATCTGAAGATCTTTGACCCTAAAATTGTACTCATATCTCTCCTAGCCGATTCATGTACAGGAGATGCAAGGCGGTAAAAGACATCACGTACCAGCATGGTGATTGATCATATGGGGCGTGAATCTGCTCGAGAAGATGAGAACGAAATGACCGAAATGAAGGGCAGATGACGCGTACGGGACGATGGAATGATCATCAGCGCCACGAGAAAGGTCGAGCCCTGTCATATGGGCGACAACACCTACAGCGCTGACAAACTTCTCTCCATCATATTGGTGTCATCTACTGACCTCTTTGGCATTCCACTGAGGCTTTGTGAACTATTCAACAGCCCCTCGCGAGCGATGCCATACAAGCAATCTTGCCAACAACCATTCGTTTGAGAAGGCTGTAGTTAGAGGGCGAGGTTATCTGGTCAAGTGGCCAGCATCGAAATGCTTGACCACACCACGAACATTTACCCGTGCAACCAAGCGACAAACTATCCAAAGCAGGGCGTAACTCGGAGGCGCTAACTTACCAACGTAGGTGGAACTTTGGGAGGTTTCAGAGGATCCAAGCGACCGATGTCCGATGCGTGTTTAAACATGCCGGAAAAAATATGCTGATTAGGAGAAGAGATTAGAATCTCATACTGTAGATCATTTATTAATACAGCAACTTTTCAAATTTGGTAACCCGATTCTCCGACGTTGATCTATCACTTGAAATTTTCCTGCCAATATGCCGCGCTCTTATAGCTGGGCAAGGGTCACGCTGGGAACACGAAGGATTAAGTCGGAAGAAATTAGGCACTTACCTACCTGTTAGCTTCCGTCAACTATCTCTAGCTTGCTATGATCACTCCGTGGCTGCTCAGGGACTAGACAAGGGAACTTCATTGCCTCGAGAAAGACTTACCTCTAGCTTTTCCCTGCCGTGAAAAAAAATGATGCATTAATATTGGCTAACTACTCGCTATTGGCTGTTAACCTCCAACTCATCTACACATACACAATTAATCTATCGCTGATCTGATAAAAGTTTCCAAACTAGCTCGCTATTACCTTGCAGCTACCGCAGCTGTACCCCCTTGCATCGAGTCTGAATAATTCAATCGTGCCCAGTCTCAGGAATCATCGTTGGATTTCCGTGTCTCTCCAACTAATTCAATTAAGCACAGTAGAGAATAATGTAGTCGAAGATGTAAATCTCTCCGCCTATCATTTGATTTACGCTTCTAGTTAGTGTTATTTATTTATTCATCCTGCTCAAAGAAGTACTGGTAGAGTTTGTTATGAATCGGTAGTGCATGTGGAGCATTAGTTGGGCCGAGTAAACAAAAGCGACGCGATGGCCGCCCTATCCCCTGCTCCCCTCCCCCAATGAACGGACGGACCCCTCTCGCCCCATAAATTAGCTCTTCCCACGTGATACCACGATCCTAGCCATGCACATCTACTTCTATAAACAACAAACAGAACTTCAACTTATTGGGTTATTACCGACACATCTATTCCACCATCGCATCCCTCTCTACCTATCTCTCCAACTTAAGCTTCACCCCTGAAGCAGTGATACAAATCACATTGGTGTGCATTTGCCAAAATCATCGACAATTTCGTCATTCGCGTATCAGTCGGACGCGACGATTTCTAAATACAACCCAATTGTTACATTTCCGTACTGATCCTTCTTGTCGCTCTTTTTGTTAAATATCCCTCATCCCCTTTCACAACTATCATTTTTCCGAGCAAGGCCCCAACTTCCGCCACCTCTATCAAACAGCGAAATCATTCAAACGACTCATTCTCGCCAGTATTTATATGCGGCCCCGACCAATCTTGGCTTAAATTTTTCGTACTTACTTTCTATGCGCGCTGTATACATCTGAACAAGCTTTCCATTCGTCTAAATCCTTACAGGATAAAACCAACATCAAATATTGAGTGCTCGGCGCAGCTGTGACATTTACCTAACGTCGATAAGGTCAATCAATAGACTGACCTTTGTAAAGTTTGGTTCGCAGAGTCATTAAAGCTTATCCAACTCTGTTCATAAAGTCTACCCATAACTTTCATTAGTTCGTTCTGTACCGACCCTATTAATATCCTCTCTCTAACTTTGCTATCTTGCTATCGTATAGGATTTATAGCTTTTTGTCGCAGCCCCTAAAGGTCATCATGCACGAAATATCAAATGGCTCCGCAACAATACCACGAGGTTTCAGGTTTCGATATCAAGAAGGTTTCTCTACTCCGGAACCAACATTTACAAATGAGGAGCAAAAGATTTCCCCACCAAGACATCGTCTTAAGATTAGGCGGCGGATTGTATCAAGTCGAAATGCGCCAACAGATAACTTCCTAGCTTCAGTCAGGAATGCAGAACCTCCTTTACCTATGAATGAAATACCACAAAAATCAGATGACCCCGAAATGATGGATCAAAGAGCAGAAACAGACCCTAGAAAATTAGCTCCAGGTATAATTAAGTCACCACCAAAGACGCCAGTAATTTCATTGTCGATAGATGCAGTTAAGTCAAAGCCAGACTGGAATATGGACTCCATCCAAACTGGTCTCATTCATCGACCGCTATCTGCACTATCAAGTGATTCAGATATCTCCTCCGACTCCCTCGATAGCCTTCGCCCATCCGGGCGGCTATCTGAAGATGAAAGTTGCACAAGCCCAGAATCAGATGGATCAGATCCTTTTCAATTCCCAGTTACCAATGTTAAAGTCAAAAAAATAGATAGCGACGAATGGAAGAGCAAGACGAGTACACCAAGTAGGCTCAATACAACGCTTCGAATCAAGGGGCGAAAAGATGCACCATGGTCAAAGGCTCAAACTGCACACTTATGGGCCACATACCTCATTTACCTTCAAGACCCAACTCTGACACCAATACGCATTGGAGCATGCCACGTTCCTCCGGAGGGCGTGTGCCATAGAGTAGCGAGAGAAGCAAAAAGGAGCTGGAGAGGCCCCAAGTTAACCCAACCCTCTGCTCAGTCAACTAAAGTATCCTCCCAAGAAAGTGGTGAAATCACCATGACTAGTGAAAATACTTCTCGAACATATGCGCAATGGCCTCACTCTAGTTGTGCTACGCGGAGTAAGCTGAGGAATATATGTAGGCATCAAAACTGCAGCTCTTTATACAGACGTCACAATTTTTTACAATCGAGAAACTCAACACCATTCTCCAAGCGAGATTCCTTTCACGTACATGAAAGATTCGCTTCGGACTCCTTTTCTGACGGTATTAGCACCCATGATATGTCAATTTCACTTAGTCAGAGTATCTCTACGAGTATGCAGCCCAATGGACCTTTGGCAAACCTCTCTAGAAATGCTCTAATTAAAAATGAACTTTTGCCCACGAACAATTCTTTAAAAGATCATAACGAGTCTCAAGGTAAAATGTCTTGTCGAGCTCCTACACTAGGCTCTCCATTTTCTTGTAGTTACGGGCCAGGCTCCTCTGAAACAGGCCGCAGGCCAGGCCTCTATCAGTCAAGTAATTTAGGCTCACCACTTCACTTCGATCAAACACGATCTCTTAGCGGGACTCAAAAGCGACGCGCTCAACATGCCCTCCAAGAAGATCTTGACAGCGCCCCGGCCGTCATGGAACCTAAAATACTTAGCCGGCGTTTTGAAAACTCCCTCATCCAGTCACGCCGTGTGCGAACTCGCGGATTCAGCCTTGGTGACGAAACAATCGCTACTCATGCACTTCACTCGGCACTTGACTCTACACCATCACAGTTTGGCACATCTCAGATTAATGAAATCGAAACATTCCAGACCACAAGTCGTGATCCTCCTCGACTTGGATCTCCATTCTCTGAATCCGGAATGAATAATACATTCCCACGCAGACTTTTTTCTGACGCCACTTCTATTGTACGCAATCCATCATTTGTAACTCCACATCACAAACGACAATCAATTGAATCTTTATTCGAGCGAGAACGCCGAAGCTTGCTAAGCCAACTAGATTTCCTTAATGGGAGATTGAAACAAATCCGAGAGAAAGACGACGAATGTAGAATATGATTGATTCGCTCGTCATTTCTAAAATTAAGCAAGTCAAAAGGAAATTCGCGCCGCTGCTCACTACATTCGATATTGTGGCGCTGAATGGGCTAGAATCTCTCTTTTCTTGCCAAATCGTACAAATATTATTCGATGATAGTGCAACTACACTTGTGTGACGTAGATATTATGTTGGGAGTAAAACCAGGCTAACAGTACATGCCTCCAACCTCACCGGTGAAATTATAGGATCCTTGCCCTCGTTTGCCTGCTCAAAACTTATACTTTTATGCATTGCCGATATTATTCGAATAGGAGTACGGGGCATCTGGCGCAAATATTTTCCTTGGTCTGCCAGAGATGGGTGCAGATTTTGCATGTTGAATGAACCTGTGGCGCATTTGATCTAGTGTGGGGGAATTACGAAACAGTCTATTTTGACTGTATGACTGGACGTGGAGATTAGGTTACGATGCTCTGGGTTGACTGGTCTTTTTCGCTCCTAAGCTTACAGACTGAATCAGGTTAAATACTAATCTGACCCAGTTATTTACTAGTCGGAGTCTGTCTGGGGTATGGTTGTATAGGAGTTGAAATACAGCTAAGGCAATATTTCGTAGCCTGCGTCGCAAGTATGATTGTAGTAGACTGACCTTTGGGGAGCAGGCTACCCCAACACAGTCTTTCTCTAAAATGATGGACTTTTGGCTGTCAGAAGACAGGGAGCTTCTAACGAATATTTACGTGGAGTATAGACGACAACTTGATAGATTGACAATATTAGATTTTGGAAGGGTTCTCAGCAGAGTTCCAATAAAGATCATATCTACATTGTAAATATTTTTGTTTCACTCAACTATTCGTAAATTTGCTACCTTCTCGGTGGGCCGGCGGGGTTGTGAAAAATATCACACAATCGCGAGTCCAGTGACATCTGCCACTGCATAGGTAATCGTCGAGATGATTATGAAGTTCTACTCCTTGTAATATCGAGAAGTCAGATGAGCAACTGCACACACAAGACTCGGTGGTATTTGTCAAGTCCAACAGGGAAGCTGATCCGGATCGGCAAAGGGGACTGGGTAAAACGGCCGGTGCGACAAATACAAGGCCACCTGGCACGTCAGTCATGATAGCGAGGTCTGGTCGGGTAGTTTGATACGGGGACCTTAAATCCGAAGGGTGACCCGATGACCGGTGGGGGCTGCTGGTGTATACCGGTACCGACGTGCCAAAATTGATCTCGGTGCTGGGACGCTCTGCTCACATTCTAGCCCGACCACCGATGTGCCTGCGCATGCAGCCCTCTCGTGACTTACGTTGTTATCGGAGCCTCGACCGTCGATCGCTCGCGTCCCTGACGGAAGAGGCCCAAGATGGTCCGGGACCGTTCCGAGGGCCGGCGCTGAGGCATCTCGGTGGCATCCCGGTCCGCACTGGCCTTTCCCGAGCCGGGGCCCGCCCTGCAGATTTTTCCGGGCGAATACTTGCGGATCGGCGATAAGACATCCCCGACGCCATCTTCGGCGAGCCACTTGGTCACTGCACATTCCGCGTTCTCGACAATTCTGGCCATTCACTCGACCTCCCCCGGCCCCTTCTCCCTGCTCGCCGCGGGCCTAGGCCAGGCACGGGCGAGATGCGTTGGTGAGGATCAGCGTCACCTGCTGGTGTGGGCCTCTGCACCTGTATCCGGCTAGAGTGGAGAGGCCGAGAAATGACGGTCGACGTATGAGTAGTCGTCCGCTAAGGTCATTGGCTTGGCGCCAGTATTCCTCGAATGAGCAGGTACAGCTCGGGAAGATGCACGACATTCACGCGCCAGCGCAGGCCTGCGTGGGTGCCTTGTTTATGTTGGTCCTGCCACCTGGAGCCACAGGGAACATCCCTAGCCGTGACCCCAGCGGCTCCCAAGTAACGGTATGGGCTGGGCGTGCGGCCCATTAGGCCCCCTACTTGAGGTGAACGATGGACGAGCTGACGATACTTCCCAGCCTGCTCTCGCAAAGTTCCTTGGCCCCCTGTTGCGTGCCGCGCTCGGGCAAAGGGCGAGCCCTCCTTTTCCCATCCAAACGCTACTGTGGCGGCGCATGTCCGATCTCCGTGCGCCACGGCATGACGCGCCATGGCAGTTGGGGTCCGTGTCACCCTTGACCTCCCACTCATGCCTCGCGCTCTCGCACCGCCGAGAGTTCCAACTTGATGGGCACGAGAATCGGCGACGAGCAAGAGATCGAGGTGAGCATGTTAGTGCCGCTCGCACGCACGAGCTCGGCAGCTTCAGGCACCCGACGTGCGTGCAGTCGCATAACATTCTCCCGCCAAACCTAAGCTGGGTGCTCTGGAATTCGCGCCGCAGTCCACTACCTCTGAGAATATCGATATGCTGCGACTTCTCCCTTTGTCACGTCGAGGTCCTACACAATAGCCCCAATTCCACTACGGCTACAGGACTGGTGGAGCCGGCGGAGATCACTGCGCTCAGACCAAACTCACTCCAACCGCGTGAATTTCCAACACAATCGCAGCAGGCGGAAAAGTCGTGAAAAAGAAATAAACTCACACCGAATCACTGCGTATTCTCGCCGCTTGTAACTCTTTACGCACGCTCTCGGCACATGGATCTTCCTCTCGTATCCCACAAAAACTTCCCTCCATCTTCGTCGTGATTAAAATATGGGTTTACTCGTTTTCTCCGAACTTGTCCATGACTTTGTCCCTTTTTTGGGGAATCATTACTGATTTCGAGGTCTCTTACACTCTTTAGACTTGCTCCTTGGGTGCTCAAGGCTCCAAAACCTAGCTCCCCCGACATCAGCGTATCCCTCGCGGCAGCTTGACTTCCTACCGCAGCACTCCTCGCCGTAGCCTTGATTCGAGCCACTGCCGTGAGTTCTCGTTGATTGGATTTTCAGAGAGTGGCTACCTGTTTCCTTGTCACCGCACCGGCTTGCGTGGGACGAGCTAAGCCGTCTTGGCTGTCTCATGTGAGCTGCCATAGTTTCGTAAGATGGTGGCGGCTCTGCACTCCGCATGAGAATGGATTGACGAGCCACAGTTCCATCAGTCTAGGTCGTGAGAAGAGCCGTGCCTAATCTGGTAGCTGAGGCAGCCGCTACACCACTAAATTTGGCGACGAGCCTTTAGACTTCAAGTCATACCAGACTCGCCAAAAAGGCGGATTCCTGAGGAAAAAACGGCTAGTTTGGGTGTGGCGCAAGCATATGGCACATCTCAGGAGGCCGTAGCTGAATTAGGGGCACTTTGGTCGTTTGAACCATCTAGCTGCTAACGATATCAGTAGTAGTTGTCACCAGAGCCTAGCTTGCTAATTGTCATTGGTTGAGTGGCGACCCGAAGAGCAGCCAAGGACAAAGATGGCGCAAGTTTGGCATCAAGGCTCTTCCTCGATGTGCGCAATTATCCTTTGTTATTGTGGAAAATTGAGTTCTCAATCTATGTAGGGCCATGATATCAGTGATGCGCCGTTGAATTGCTGCAACGCTGCCTATCAGATGCTCGTAGGCGATAATCGATGTCACTTATCAGTGAAATCGAGGCATAGGAATAGTGGTTTGTCTAGTGTCGTTACAGGTTGTGCTGCAGCTCTGGTTACAGGTACTGCGATTTGGTGCAGTTCGTCTCGAGCCACTGAAGATTAGCCGCTCTTCGTTGCTTGGGCCGGGACCGGTCTTTGATGTAGAGCCTTCGTGCAGTCTCTCGAGTCGTGCAACATGGAGTTTGGACACTACCTACGCACTGGAGGTATTTCTGATCGACTGACTATTGTCTAAAATTCAGAAACTAATGATGATGTTTGTATTGTACTACGCGAGTCTATGACTTATTAGCACATTGGGCTCGTCTCTGAGCCAGACCACACCTTGTACAGTGCTCCTTGCCTCTTATGTTCCTTTAAAGATCATTAATATATTGCCCTTAATGAATAGCTGTTGAAGGCTCATTCCTCAGCATGTAGGTCACGTGGTGGATTTTTTAGTATAGCCTATAACTAGCGTCCCTTCTAAAATCTATTGAAGTTCTTGCTTAGGACGCCCACAGCAGTATTAAAACTTGTACAATGGCTTTAAAAATTACAGTTCTCCACCACAATTCGTACCCGGACTCCTCCCGAGACATCAATAAACGACACCCAGCAGTAGTCCAAAGAAAAGTAAAAATAAAAGAGAGCTTATGGGCTAAATTTTCTTTTCTTTCCTCTCCTCTCATTTAATTTAGTATGTCGGGAAGATATCCTTCCCATTGCGACTGGCCCTCATTCCCTCTGGGAGGCATAAATTTCCGTAGACAGCGTACTTCATCTTGGGTCCCTTTTTTGTTTGGGGAATCTGGGTGCCCCCGGTTTATAGAGCAGTAGGCTCTGGCGTCCTTTTCCAATCCACGACTAGTGCATTGTAATAATTAGACGTTAAATACTTAAAAACAACAGACAACAAGACCGGTAAATCTACTGTAGCTGTTAGATTATCCATTTAACATAATATTAAGGATTTCTAGGAAGACAACCTCATCAGTGTTACGCTTCGACAATAGCCATTAAGCTCAGTGTTTGCCCGTGGAATTCGGCCACCTTTTCCACGGAACCTTCTACTCAAAAAAATAAAAGTGGTAGCAATGGAAGCTGCGTGCGCGGGAAAACGTCTCAAAAAACCTGCAGTCCCAGCCAGGCGAGGCCTAGACACCGGGACCACATTAGGTACACATATTCATCTATGTCTCCCTTCTTGGTAACATTTGAGGCCGACTTGATCCAATCCGCCATCTCCGTATCGGGTGCTGGGTACGCTCCGGAAACTCATCGGATGGCATCTCCTCCATGATCAAGGGTTGGTGATGAGCAGGGCTCCGACCCTACCATCTGATCTGATCGTGGTTAGCTTCATGATAGTGGTGATAGGGGAATATGTTGAGAGATGAAGACGATACAGACGGCGAAAGCGATTGGAAATTCTCGTCGGAGTGAGGACTTTGTTACCCAATCCCGGCTCTGCAGACTCTAC